TTGTATGTAAGTGGATTGAATCCTTGCTTCACAGTAGGAAGGTCAGGCTCTCACTCCATAATGACACGATCGAGGCAAGAACTACTCGAGGTTGCCCCCAGGGTGGGGTGGGGGGGTTCTATCCCTTCCTTTGGAATTTGGTAGCAGACAACCTTATAAGGACCCTCAATGAAAGTGGGGTTGGAAAGTTCCACGGAACCATTACTAACCTTATGAAAAGAGCTTTAAGGGTGGTGGACCGTTGGTGTCTTGAAGTTGGGCTCTCCATTAATCCCAGGAAAGTTGTAATGGTACCCTTCACAAGAAGGAGGAAACTGGAAGTGATTGGCCCACTAATACTGCAGGGCACTGAAATAGAGCTGCAGAATCAGGTGATGTATCTAGGTGTAATTTTGGACAGATCACTTCGCTGGGGATGCACAGATGCAGAATTGTTGTAGCTACAGGGTTACAGTGTGTCATTTTCCTAAGTTCAACAGAAAATTATAAAATTTCTCTTCTCTAGATAGCACCCAAAAAATCTGTGCACTGACTTCATGGTAAAACATCGTCATGATAACATCCTGAAAATATGGCCACCTCTTGGTCCCACAATCTCCCACGATCACGGCAAAATCATGGTTATCTCCCTCAATCAGGGCAACTTTGTGATTATTTCTCATGGATCACAGAAACGTTGTAGTTAATAGTTATATAATACAAACGTGATTTTCATGAGACAACTACATGAAGAGTGAACAAATGGCGAATTTTATTGTTGATTAAAAAAAGGTACAATTTCTCAGATAAATGTATACAATTCACAAACCTTTACCCGTTAATTAACATTTTGCTTTAAGTATTTTTTTTCTTAATCCCGTCTCTAAAGAGCAACATATTCTATTGAGCTTTAAAAAGAAAACACAATAGGTAAACTAATTCCCATTTTTTAAAACAAAACAAATTCCACACTTATTCTTTTCTCAAATTTCTCACTCATTTTTGGGTAGATTATTGTGTGATTTGGGTTAAAATATACCCTGATGCATCTCTATTTCTGTTTTAGTAATGGATAAAATAGCTCGGTTTGGTTTACTGGATGCGGCTGGGCATTTTTTACTTGAAATGAAAAAATAGTATTTTTCATCTGTAGGGTGTAAGACGACTCTTTTCGTTGACACATCTTGCCTGTCTGATGAAATATATTTTTGTCATATTGCATCATTATTTAAGCAAACAAAGTTACAAAACAATAGTATTTTTAATGTAAAGATAACCTCTCAAAACGACAGCATCTTTAACTCCCTAGGGACTAAAAAGGATTTTTACTCCATAGGGGAGTAGAAGAGCTACTTAAAACCCGCAACGCATATATTAAAAATGGCTCAATTTGCTGCAGTATGACAAAAACTTGTTCTTTTTGCTGGAGTTTTATGGCTTAAATAAAAAAATCTAAAACAAGTTTGCACATCTGGACCTCTACGTAGGCGCAAGTATTATAGTAAAAATAAGTGGGAATGGATCTTAAAAAATGTATTGGGAACAAAATTTGCATATAGCGTTTTTTTTTTTTGTCTGTGCACTATCTAAAACTAAAGAAGGAGGCGTATGGAGAATTAAACATAATCAGGAACTAAGAGATCTGTTCAAGGAGCCTGATATAATTGCAGAGGCTAAAAGCAAGAAGCTTCGCTGGACAGGCCACATCATTAGAAAAGAGGAAACTAGCACATTACTGTATATCAAATATGGAAAATTGATCCTCTGGGGAGAAGACCACGAAGGAGACCGAAGGAACACTAGACGGATGAAGTTAAGAAATATATGTCCAGGATGGAAGTCAATGAAGAAACCGCAAGAAACAGGACGACGAGGAGGCAGTGTGTTGGTGAGGCCAAGTACCACTTTGGGTACAGATGGCCATGGGAGTAAGAGTATGTAAAGTACAATTAATGACTGGCGGGGAAACCGCTTTGAAAAGAAAATGTTTGCACGCAAATTGAATCTGAAACATTACTTGCCTTTGCCTTGTAAAAACACTAAACTATATTTATTCTTGTAATCCATAGTTACATTTGTGTATAGTAATAATATTATAAAATACCCCCGCTGCAGCAAACCTGCAGACTAAGTTAATTTTCATTTGCCCGGCTGGATTTCTACAAAAATTTTCCCTAACAATTTTCAGATTTTTTTCCTATTTAAATAACATTAATTTTAGTAAGTACTTAGGTTTGCTGCTACAGGGAAGATTGAGGTGGGGCTTTTTTATTGAAATGTCAATAGCTTAGTATGAAATAAAATTGCCAAATTTAATTGAAATATATCCATAAACAAGCACACTACAACATTTTATTTATTTTCCATAAGAGTAACACGGGAATTTTAAATTTATAATTTGTTTTACTATCTCCGTAACCGTTAGGCATACAACAACACTTTAATATACAAAATTATTGATTTTTTTAAGCTCTACCAAATGGTTTGAAGAGAAATTATGAAATTTTGTGTTTTTAGGGCCAAAAATGGGAAAAATCAATTTTTACCCCATAAACTTCCGTTCCCATAATCCGATTATGCTGGTTCGCAAACTTGTTTGAATAAACGTAGGTTTACACATTTGTACCAAATTTAGAGAGGTTACCATTCGCTTTGTTGTTCATTCGTTATTGTTGTTCATAGTTGTTCATTCGCCTATTGGGTCTGATGATGATTGGAGTGTCCAATCGAAATCGATCACCACTTACCATCTTTTTTGTATATTTACCGTCTTGTGCTTGTGAGTAACAGTATAAGCGTAAATATATCTTTTAAGTGTTATAAGACGTTTCTCTTATTTACTTTCCGTACCAAATTTAATCAAAATCGGATCATTTTTGCTTGAGTTATTGTGCTAACGGACATATATATATCCTCTGGGGACCTCGAAACGAAAAAGTAAATCGGTCATGGGTCTAGGTCTTACCATGAGACCTACGGTAATAGCTTATTCCCTATATGGGAAATTCGCTAAAATGAAAATCTATGTGACAACACACAATATCTTTTGGGTAGTTATACTTCAAAAACGTCTTAAAAGGCTATTTATATTGGACACTATCACATCTTATGGGTCCGCGGAATTGGCTAACTCCGGAACCCGCTAACCTGGTCTAGAGCCGGGTTAGCAAATTCCGTCCTCGTACGGAAGTCGCTAACTCGGTCCCTCGGCGAAACTCGGTAACTCCCAATCAGAAACCTCGCGCACCATCCAGTGGGAGCCAAGCACGAAGATTGTTGGCCAGTGTTGCCGAAAGTGTAGTACCTACGATTGGTATTGGTACCATAATGTTGTATCCTATGAATAATTAGGAGTAAGATCAATGTAGTTGATAAAATAAATATATATTCAGAAGTATGTTTATTATTATTCTTATGATTATGATTAGGGTGGAAAATGCATTATAGTCTTACCGTAGACTAACCAACACAAGTGGACTTCACAATTTGGTTTCATCTATATATTAATAGGCAAGCATGCTTCTTTGAAACCTTTTTTCTCAGCTTGTATGCATCGCTTGGAAAATCTACGCATACTGTTAGAAAGATATTTCCTGTAGATATGCAGAATCCCTTTATAAATTAAAATAGGCTCAGAAATAAGAAAAAAATGAACTTTAAACTTAAAAAAATTAGCATGGGCCATATGGGTGACAAAATATAAACATAAAATCAATACAAATAATATAATTTCCAATCACATGTTTTATTTTAATCTTAGTTTTTTTTATCTTTTAATCTTAATCTTCTTTTATCTTTTTAAATTAGCTGATCTTATCCAACAACGAAGCTATTGTCCATTAAGTAGCTCAGTTCCGGGGAATGGGGAACCGAGCAATGGCTTGGTATAGTTTATTTCGATTGTAAAAGCAATATGAAGAAAAATCAACACTAAAATCAGGAAAATCTGTCAAGTCGTTGATTCAGAATCGTGAAATAAAGTAACCCTGTCACGTTTTAATATAAGAATATTATATATTATCCGATTATTTACTAGTGGGCCTTCGGTTTACAATCTAAAAACTGTTATTAAAACATGTAGGCCTAACATTACCACTAAAAAATTCGACAAATTTTAGAATTAGGTTTAGCTTTTACTTGTAGGCCTACAACGCTTTGGTTTAAACTAATTATGCCTAGATTTTTAGCTATTGCTATTCTATAAATTATTGTTCTAATACGTAGCCTATGTCATATCTTACACGTAAGTTGGACGATTCAACGACGATCCTTTAAATTTAAATCTATGAATTGGTTATGAAAGTTACGATGGTTAGTGACTGTATAAATTAATGGTTTTGATTTATTATGACATCACGATTTAACTTGTTTTTTGTGTTTGAGAACTTGTGTGTATTTTACATTAATTTCATAGAGGTTTATTGGTACTACTTAATTTTCAATATTTTTCATATTCTATTATTTTCCTATAATAATGGCATTTATAGTTAAGATCGAAATTATTAACATTTAATTGGCCGTTATACAGTTAGATAAAAAATATTTTAATATTTAGCAAAAAACAATAACATTTACTGTATCTTTCTTTATTGACACTGACATTTTGAAATACGGCAGTGTACGATTATTTCGTCGTATAAGGTTGGCAATGATCCGTGCAGTGAGGAATAACTGCTGGGTAACAGGCTGGGTTAGCAACTTCCAGAGTTAGCGAATTCCGCCGTGGGAAAAAATCGAGTTAGCGGGTTCCGGAGTTAGCCAATTCCTGACTGGGACGGTTAGCCAGTTCCAGAGGTAGCCAGTTTCGACACACGACCGAGTTAGCTAGTTCCAGAGTTAGCCAATTCCTACGTCTCCATCTTATACTCAACATCGATAAAAACCGACGTATGGTCCGGACTTAATCAAATCTGATACTGAGGTTTCCAGATCAGAGGGAATCAACTGTATCAAACTACTCATATTGAATTACCTACATCAAGTGCTATGCTAGGCAATGTAGGTTACAAAATGAATCACAATAAAGGAATAGAAACTTTTAATAAAATACATAATTGCCCGTCATGAGGCAATTGTAACTATTAACAGTAATGTACATAGTTAATGTATTAAATGTACATCTATTTTACAGCTGCAGCTGGCAGGAAATATTAAAAAAACTGAAATATATAAACAACAAATAAGGTTCTTTCAAACCTATGTATAGAAAATTAAAACAAAAATGCAGAACAAAGGTTATAAATTGTATTAAAACATTAAAAATGTAAAAATAGGCTAAGAATACTTAAAAAAATATAACTGAATTTGAATATAAAAGTTAAAAGTGTTTAACTCTTAAAATTACAACAATTAATACAGAGACGTTTCTTCGGTAAATTGGCTTACACTCGATGCCAGTAAAAGGAACAATATATTAAATATCAAAGCCTACAATATTTCTTCTATAAATGACTCGATAAATAGGCCTTGATTAACAATGTCTTTTGAATAAACAGGAAATGTCCAGATCACCATGTGACCAGGCATTTATTGCACATAACCGACGTCAGTCAAAGTTATAGCGTTCAGATCTCTTCTGGGGACGGCACACGAGCTGACGTATTAGCTGGCTGTAGTAGCTGCATCAACGCCTCAATGTCACTCTTGTTCACCTGAAAATCACCAAGTTATCTTTATTTAGTACAGCTGATCTTTAGGGGTGGGTGAGTACTCGACCCCGAGTCGAGTAGTTATAAATAGTGCCACTTCACGATTTTCTACGCCTGGATTTAATAAATGATATTTGTTTTTGGGTTGATTTCTTATTTATCTCCATTCCTACAAAACAACAACTATATAACTTCATATATAAGCTAGTCCAGCGTAAACCAAATGATCAACAACCATCATCATTTGGCAGATCTTAATATAATTTGGAAAGTTTCGTATTCAGAAGTTTGATATAAAGTAAAATAAAAATATTCTGTTTGTGATTTTGAAAAAAAAGTCGAGTCGAGTAGTTGCGCGTTAAGTAGGCCTAGGCCCAGTACTTCTTCAACGAGTGGTTTGTATTTTGAGCTCCTGACAGGCCGTTTCATGAGCACTGGACCTGGATTCATGAGCCAAGATGGAGTTGTTGTTACACTCTGGCCTCAGGTCGCTCAGTCTGGGGTGGGTCGATGTATATGAACAGAGTGTTTATTCTTAATAAATCTAAAATTCTTCATTAAAAGGACGCCACCTAGTTTTAAACTTCCTAGGAACCAAATTAGGAAATATTCCAAGGTAAAGGATAATGTGATTGAATACCAAAGATTTGAATACCCAAGAAAATATTTACTGATCAGTTGCAAAACATTTGTACCTTTAACTTCAATTTTTTAAAAAGCATTCATTACAGCACGCAGCACTTATTGATATATATATATATATATTATAATCATCAATGTAACTGTTACTTTATACAAAATAAAATAGGTACAAAATTGTGTGGCCAGTCAAACTTTATAAACCAACATTTTATTCTATAAAATACAGATGGTAAATAGGGGTTGGTTTAAAAGAAATAAAATACAAAACAGATTAATTAATTATTTTGATAAACGATAGAAAGGTTATGGGATTGATTGAACTAAAATAACCATAAGGAATCTTAAGTAGAAAAGTCGTCAACCACAATCTGTTTAATCAGTACATCGTTAGAGAGAGAGAGGGGGGGGGGGAGAGAGATAGCAGATAGGGGCGTTTGATAGGGAATCTGAAAAAGTAAACAAACAAGGAACAACGATGGGACAATACTCGTTTATAGCCTTATTGTCTCGCCCACTACATTTGCACACGTGACCACTTTTTGTTTCTTCCTTATCTTTCATCCGTCCCAAATTGGAATTCCTAAAATAGTTTGTTGGTATAATCTCCCCTCACACACAAGGCGCAGTGCTGAGTGCGCACTGTAGGTTGCCACGGCAACCGTGTGTCGTCATAGCGACTTAGCCAATCACGCACGCGCACTGCGTTGTAGATTACGATACGAATAGCTGTGTTAGAAAGACAACGCGATAGGCGGTAGTTTGTCTCTTTCGTATCCCCTCAAAATTATTACAATCGATAATCAGATAATCATTGCGCAACATAGAATTGTGATAACTTTGTTTTCAATAACGACATATGGATACAGTTAGTCTTTGACATTGCCTAGCCATATGAATTATTTTATTTAAAAAACCCGCCCTTGAAAAAAGAAAAACGTATCTGTATTTGGATCCGAAGATCCGAATCCGAGGATCCGGATCCGATTTTTTCAAGATCCGGATCCGGTACCGACATTTTCTTGGATCCGCCCATCACTAATATTTAAATAAAATATTCTATGTTCAATAAATTGTTGTAGATTGAATGAATAAACCTCTAGTTAGGCTTTATTGAACATAGAATCTAGCATGATATAGAACTAACAATATGAAACAACTAACATCATAGTAAACAAAAATAATTTCTTAACATTTAAACAGATGTTACAATGTACAGGTGGAAAGGAATTATATGACAAATGATAAAGCCACTTGTCTCTGACAGACTGAAAATATCTAACAAAAACGTAGTAGGCCTATTATCTTTAAATAAAATCCTACATTAAACTCTTAATTTAAAATTAAAACACATTTCGCTGTAGCCCGGTATAGCCTATTTGGCCTTTCTAACCACTTTCTAGGTTAAGTTACAATTCAAACTGTAGTTGTCATGTTTCTGCCACCAGATAGAAAACTGCACAATCAAAATTACAAACAGAATATGTTTATTTTACTTTCTAAAACTTCCACTGAACATAATCAATTTAATTTAAGTTACAAATTCACTTAAAAGTAAAAACATTCAAAACTGACGTTGACATGACTCCACTCCAATCCATTGTTTTGAACAGCTGTTTTGCATGGCTGACATTGTCATATTTATCATTACACCACTATGGTGAATGTCGGCAAAATTATCATAAAATTGCTATAGCTTTTAATTCGTAAACCAAAGTTAATAGTTTGGCTAATTTAAACCATGTAAACTTATTAGAAAATTATATTTATAGTTTGTCTGCGCCACTACCACAGTTGTAAAAGTACAAAAATTATCGTCCATCTGGCTCTGCCGAATGACGATGGTTGTTTGATGAACATTTGGTTTATGCTGGACTAGCCAATATGAATTTAGATAGTTGTTTTTTTGTAGGAATGGGGATTAAATAAGACATCAACACAAAACAAATAGCATTTATTAAATACGGGTGTAGAAAATCTTGACGTGGCACTATTTATAACTACTTGACCCGAATTTTTGAGTAGTAGTTACTACTCGACTCGAGGTCGAGTATTTGGAAAAAGTTGAGTAATTACTCGACAGTCAAGAACTCACCCACCCCTAATGACAACAAAATATTATGATTGCACAATATTGCCTTCGTTGATATTGTCTATTGTCACTTTTATAGTTAGTTATTTATGTATCACAAAATTCAATTACATGAAATAAAAACATCCACCATTTCGAATTTCCACATGGCGAATTTCCCGTATTATTCACGCTGCCATAAAATTCCTGTAGAAGTCCCGGAATTCCCATTCCGTGGACACCCTGTTCTTTGGAATCAATTCTCAATAATTTTCAATTCTGATTCCATTAGGTTGAAAATATTTCCCGTGGTTGTGTAGACATCGTCATTGTCCACCAACGCGCGGTAACAAATCATCATCATCGATTTCACGATTGTGGCAAAATCATGAAAATCTCCCACAAACATGTAGATCTGCTCTTGTCAACCCCTCTGATTTTTTTCTAAATGTCCAAAACTTTTGTTGAACTAACATTATGTAATCCCCCTAACAATCCCAATGTACAGAAACACTTTATTTTAAAAGACAAATTCTGTATGGTCTCGTCGTTAAGTTGGCCCCCTTTAAGATGGTTCTTCAGTTAACCCACACTAATTTGCAATAAAGGTAAATATAAATATATATTAATATAAAATATGCAATTAGGAGGCCCCATTGCTTTATATGAGCATAGAGCGGCGATTGTGCTTCCATGATTGTGTTTTCATCCAACCGATCATGTTTGCTGTGACTGTAGATCTGATGCTTGACTGTCCGTCTAGTGCTGCCTGTCCGTATAATGAGTCGTTGTTTATGGGTTATTACGATGTGTAAATGTTTTAAGTGTTTTCTCAGTAAAAAATGAAACTATTGTAGGCTAAGTATATTATATAATTTTGATCTTTTCTGCTCTTTCTCTGGCTATTACACATAAGTTTGGTTGGTTAGGTCCATTTTGCTGCATTCTTGGCTGGTCCGACATAACAAGGTAGCACTGTAATTGATAATAAGAGAATACTTGTTACCTACAGCTACCCACATATCTAAATGATCAACACTAACCTGATCCTTAACTGGCATTAGATGTCTAACGAGAATGCTTCGTTCTACAGCTATGACGGGCCTCTCAGTGTTACTCATGTTGCGGGTCGCTTCCAAAGTCCTAATTAGGAAATTGTTCCACTCAGTTAGTACATTAGGTTCAGAGCACTGGTCCTTAACTTCGTCAGCTCTTAAAATAAGGTTAGCCACGACAGAGATGGTGAACTGAAACAAAGTTTTTAAGTTTAGAAAGTAAATTGAAATGGTCCACTATGAAT